AAGTAAAGATAATGTCATATTAAACTGACTCAAGAGACTAATAAGGAGAGTGGGTCGTTCCGTTCAAACAGTTGTACAGTGGTGATCCACTTTGACTAGCACTCACGAGCACACACTAGTTTTTTGTTTTTTTACTCCCTCACTGTCTTCCAGGTTATTTCGCAATTAATTGACGAGTGTGTTATGACTTGTTTTTAAACCTCTTCATGACTTCATGTCTCCATCATTGTTCTGTGCTTCAGCTGATTTGATTCCATGTTGTCAAAACAGGGCGTTAAAATCTAATTTTAAAAGAAAATTGTTGGCTGAACCTCCTAAACTGTGGAACAAGTTTCTCCCTCACAGTCTGGCTAAAAACAGTGGGGCTCAATATGTAGATAAGGGTCGACCAGTAGACCACAAGGGCAGTGCTGGTAGATGATGAAAATATAATTTAATAAAAATCTAAAATGATGGTGTGCCTTAGAGCTTCATGTATCCCAACACATAGTATAGTTAGTATCACTTCAGCCTGGTCATTGGATTAGCTGTGGACAACTGTGCTCTAAAACCCTGATGGACTGTGTTCATTATTAACTCTTAGTTGACCAGAGTGTGAGGCCTGTCTGTCTGTGTCATCAGTGAAATACCACTCACCTGTGTCCAGTGATCACGTGTTCGTTTGTCTCACTGGCGTCACCTAGTGGCCTGGGTACATATACCTCTGTCTCTCGGGTCATTGGTCCGTGTACATGTGATGTGGACTGTGTGTTGTGTTGATACTGCAGAGTCCATGTGTTGGGTCAGTCATACTGATGTCCTGTAAATGCATGCAAGTTTGGACGATAAAAATAAACCTTCTGCTCCTGATCCGTGTCTCTCCGGTGCTGTATTATGTATTAAAGTTTATATTGTTGCCTAATTTATTTTTCATAGAACTCCATTCTAACTGAATTCAACTGAACCCGATTAAAAACATGAGGAGAAAAGTCACCTCTGAGCCAAGAACTGTTCTGCCCTCTACTGGACAGATACATCTATTGCTTATTCATCCATTATCTGTTAGGCTGCACAGTGGTGGAGTGAAGAGAGGTTAAAGTCCGTTTTCTTTTATCACTCTATTCTACCACCTGTGACTTATTTCCATTTCCATTCTTTAAAAAAAAAAATCCATTAAAACCTACAGCCTGCCCTCTCCAGTACATACATTCTGTATTATGTGACCATTTCTTTATATCACCAGAATTGATATGAGGAAGACAACTGTGTGCTTTCCAAAACTGATATCAGAGGATAAACATGTTCTGTAATGAATGGGTCAGGAAATCATATTATATTTAAATGAAATTATTAACAACAACAACAACAACAAAAGACGATCAAATGTTTTAGGAACTGTTTTATTTCAAAACCCAGGAAATTGCTTTACAATAAAATTTTAAAACTTGCATTTGAAGAATTAATAAACCAAACACCCAGGTGCAAACTTAAGGTATAAAATTGGGAAATAAAATAAAACAAGATTAGATTATTGGATTAGATTAGATTACACACACAGCATTGAACTTTAAATCACTGGTAATTTCACAATCTGCAAATTATCTTAAAAAGCCCAGAATACACTCAGGGTCAAAAAACATATGTATAAAATGCACTTGTTTGTTGATGACTCCTTATGGATTTATCCTACAACCTGCAACTACAATTCTCTTCATGAACATTTTGATGCCTTGCTTCAGTTCTGACGTTTTAAGTCCATATATAATGGGGTCTAAAAAGGGGGGAAACAGAAGGATGGACATGCCAAGAAGTCTCCTGAAGAACGGGGATACACCCCCTAATCGATGAGAGACGATGGTCACTAAAGTATTGATCTGAAGGAGGATGAAAACCACCAAATGCGTGCCGCACGTCTGCAGGGCTTTTCTACTTGCGTCTGTCTGTTTGCTCATGACACACGTGCGCAGAATCTGTGCGTACGAGTAAAGCACAAGTAACATCGATCCGCCCTGAACCAGGCATGTGAGCATCAGTCCAAAGATGTTGTTGACTGTGGTGTCCTCACACACCGTCTTCAGCAGTGAGGGATTGTTACAGTAAAGATCCACGATGGTCATCCTGCACGACTTAAAACGTGCAAGCAACAATATCAACGTGACTATGAGCAGGAAGTTCATGAGCCATACTGCAATGACAATACTGGTCAATTTATTTGGAGTCATTATGGCGTTGTACTTCAAAGGACTACAGATGGCCACGTATCTGTCGTAGGCCATGGCTGTGAGGATGAGCAGGTTCCCCGTGCCGTAGAAATGAATCAGGAAAGCCTGAGCCATGCAGGCAGAGTGAGAGATCTGTCTGTTCTGAGTCACCATGCTGGAGAGCAGCTGAGGGAAAAGAGCTGTGGCACCTGTCATGTCGCTGATGGGCAGGTTGATCAGCAGGATGAACATGGGTCTGTGGAGCTTCTTAGTCAGAGCAATAACCAGCAGTAGGAGCAAGTTGAAGAACATGATCAACATGTAGGTCAGCGTGGCAAACACAAATGCAGGATAAATGGTGACACCAGACAAACCCAGTGTCTCTAGTGTTAGTAAGGAAGATGCGTTCGGGTACATCGCTGTCCGTCTCTCTCTGTGAGGACGTCTTCTTTTTGATGAGAAACTGATTTTCACCTGTAAAAAAAAAATTTGAAAATGCAAAATTGAATATTGCCACTCAGTTGTATTTTTCAGTCATCCAGCACCATGACTCAGTTGCTCTAAAACATTAATACACAACATAACTGTTGAGCAACACACAAAGCAAACAACAGCAAATCCCCAAAAGTTCAATTCAGGCTACATCCACAATAACTGTGCAAATAATTTATTTTTGATTGTTTTAATCTACTTCAGAACATGCTCTCCTCTGTTGCTCCCTTGAACAGCAGAGCTCACCTGCAGCACAGCAGTGATGAATGTCAGTCCAAGGACTCGTTCACACTGATATTTAAGCACATGAGTAAACATCACTCAGGTGTGTTGGTGCAACAGTTGACATGGAAGCAATGATGTAATGAGGTGTCAAAATAGACGTTCTATTAGATATAAGAAGAACAATAACTGAGGATTAACTAGAATATTGTTCTTTCTAAAAACTTGTCCTGTGGTTATGAAAAAAACTCAGGACATTATCTATCACGCTGCACAGTGGTGGTGTGAGGAGAGGTCAAAGGTCTTTTTCATCGATCAGTTTATTCTAACACCTGTGACTAATTTACTCTGTATTAATCTCCATAGTCTGTTTTCATTCATTTATACCTTTATGATTTTAATAAACTAATGACACTCTTAAGTCTTGGGGTCTGTGGAGCAGGCTCTGAAAAGTCACCTGTTCTCAGGTGTGCAGTAAAGTGTACTGTAGTCCACGGTTACTGCAGTACAGAGAGTTTAAATGCTGGTGACAGTGAATATGTTTGGGGTTTTTCTGATTGATAACTTGAACCACTGTGTCTGTGTCTGGTTGCCTAAGTTTGTCTTTTCAAAGTGACTTGAAGAATATGTTTCTTTACCTTTGCTATAAATACAATGTTATTATTTGGTCAGATCTTTTGTCTGGAAAATAAATCTCTATTCTTTAAAAAAAAAATCCATTAAAAGTACAGCACGCCCTCTCCAGTATATACGTTGTGTATTATGTGACCATGTCTTTATTTCACCAGAGTTGATATGAGGAAGACAACTGTGTGCTTTCCAAAACTGATGATAAACATGTTCTGTAATGAATGCATTGGGAAATCATATTATATTTAAATGAAATTATTTTAAAAAAAAAAACTCAGATGTGAGTTTTAGGAACTGTTTTAATTCAAACATAAATCAAACGTCCAGGTGCAACCTTAACATATAAAATTGGGAAATAAGATAAAACAAGATTATATTAGATTACACACAACAGCATTGAAGGAGCTGATGAAAATATTAACATAATTTCAATCATAAATCACTGGTCATTTCATAATCTGCAAATTATCTTAAAAAGCCCAAAATACACTCAGGGTCAAAGAACCATTTTTCATATTTTCATGGTATAAAATGCAGTTGTTTGTTGATGACTCCTTATGGATTTATCCTACAACCTGCAACTACAATTCTCTTCATGAACATTTTGATGCCCTGCTTCAGTTCTGACGTTTTAAGTCCATATATAATGGGGTCTAAAAAGGGGGGAAACAGAAGGACGGACATTCCAAGAAGTCTCCTGAGGAACGGGGATACACCCCCTAATCGATGAGAGATGAGGGTCACTAAAGTATTGATCTGAAGGAGGATGAAAACCATCAAATGCGTGCCGCACGTCTGCAGGGCTTTTCTACTTGCGTCTGTCTGTTTGCTCATGACACACGTGCGCAGAATCTGTGCGTACGAGAATATGACAAGAACTGTAGTTCCACCCTGTAGCAGGAAGATGAATATTATAGTCCAAAGATGTTGTTGACTGTGGTGTCCTCACACACCGTCTTCAGCAGTGAGGGATTGTTACAGTAAAGATCCACGATGGTCATCCTGCACGACTTAAAACGTGCAAGCAACAATATCAACGTGACTATGAGCAGGAAGTTCATGAGCCATACTGCAATGACAATACTGGTCAATTTATTTGGAGTCATTATGGCGTTGTACTTCAAAGGACTACAGATGGCCACGTATCTGTCGTAGGCCATGGCTGTGAGGATGAGCAGGTTCCCCGTGCCGTAGAAATGAATCAGGAAAGCCTGAGCCATGCAGGCAGAGTGAGAGATCTGTCTGTTCTGAGTCACCATGCTGGAGAGCAGCTGAGGGAAAAGAGCTGTGGCACCTGTCATGTCGCTGATGGGCAGGTTGATCAGCAGGATGAACATGGGTCTGTGGAGCTTCTTATTCAGAGCAATAACCAGCAGTAGGAGCAAGTTGAAGAACATGATCAACATGTAGGTCAGCGTGGCAAACACAAATGCAGGATAAATGGTGACACCAGACAAACCCAGTGTCTCTAGTGTTAGTAAGGAAGATGCGTTCGGGTACATCGCTGTCCGTCTCTCTCTGTGAGGACGTCTTCTTTTTGATGAGAAACTGATTTTCACCTGTAAAAAAAAAATTTGAAAATGCAAAATTGAATATTGCCACTCAGTTGTATTTTTCAGTCATCCAGCACCATGACTCAGTTGCTCTAAAACATTAATACACAACATAACTGTTGAGCAACACACAAAGCAAACAACAGCAAATCCCCAAAAGTTCAATTCAGGCTACATCCACAATAACTGTGCAAATAATTTATTTTTGATTGTTTTAATCTACTTCAGAACATGCTCTCCTCTGTTGCTCCCTTGAACAGCAGAGCTCACCTGCAGCATAGCAGTGATGAATGTCAGTCCAAGGACTCGTTCACACTGATATTTAAGCACATGAGTAAACATCACTCAGGTGTGTTGGTGCAACAGTTGACATGGAAGCAATGATGTAATGAGGTGTCAAAATAGACGTTCTATTAGATATAAGAAGAACAATAACTGAGGATTAACTAGAATATTGTTCTTTCTAAAAAGTTGGCCTGTGGTTATGAAAAAAAAAATCTCAAAAATCACTGTAAAGAGATTTCTCAAGTTTACACTATCTATTAAACATTGTTTTGACTGCAAGGACTCAGAGACGCTGCCTTAGTTTGGAGAAAGAAAAAGAGGTTTTAACAAAGGATGTCAGATATTAACTTTTAGCCAATATCCGGTACGCAGATGTTGTACAAACTAAATTTCCAATTCCGATATCAACCCATGCCGATGTAGACCTGGTTATATTTATTTATTTTATCTGTACAAACCACTGTATGAGTAAGAGATGAATTAAATGAGTTGCAGTGCTGCCATCTAGTGACTTTCACTTGCATATACAGCCATTCAGCCCCAAAACTGTTTAAGGGTCACGTCATTTGGCGAAACGCAGGCATCGTGTTATTGTGTTTTCATTATCGGAGGAAAAACTGATAACGATCCTTGTAGATATTACATGAAATGCTAACATCCGGCCGATAATATGGGTTGGCCGATATTATCGGACATCCCAAGGTTTAACATGAAGACCACCATCACTATAAAGACAGAAGTGGAGACTAAAGGTTGAATAGTGAGTAGATCTGAAAGTTTAATAAAGGACAAATAGAAAACTGTTTTGTTTTAATAAAATAATTTTAATTCATACATTGATGTTAACTGGCTCAATTACAAATTGTGTTTTAATAATAAAGATCCTTTCCCTGGATTTCTCCAAGGTCTATAGCTCAGTAGCAGCAAATTTATAATTAACCCTTTGATGCATGACCCATGATATACTGAGTTAAAAAAATGTTACTAAGTGTTTTTATGTGTTTTTAGACATAAAAATAAGAACTGATTTGGTTCTGTTTTTATACACCAAATTTTCTTTTTGAATGTTAACACAATTATTCTGCAGTTGCAAAGGCTGACCACTGTATG